GTGGTCCAAAGTCATGTTCTCTGATGAAAGTAAATTTTGCATTTCCTTTGGAAATCAAGGTCCCAGAGTCTGGAGGAAAAGAAGAGAGGCACTTCATCCACGTTGCTTGAAGTCCAGTGTAAAGTTTCCACAGTCAGTGATGGTTTGGGGTGCCATGTCATCTGCTGGTGTTGGTCCATTGTGTTTTCTGAGGTCCAGGGTCAACGCAGCCACATACCAGGAAGTTTTAGAGCACTTCATGCTTCCTGCAGCTGACCAACTTTTTGGAGATGCAGATTTCATTTTCCAACAGGACTTGGCACCTGCACACAGTGCCAAAGCTACCAGTACCTGGTTGAAGGACCATGGTATCCCTGTTCTTAATTGGCCAGCAAACTCTCCTGACCTTAACCCCATAGAAAATCTATGGGGTATTGTGAAGAAGAAGATGCAATACACCAGACCCAACAATTCAGAAGAGCTAAAAGCCACTATTAGAGCAACCTGGGCTATCATAACACCTGAGCAGTGCCACAGACTGATCGACTCCATGCCACGCCGCATTGCTGCAGTAATACAGGCCAAAGGAGGCCCAACTAAATACTGAGTGCTGTACATGCTCATACTTTTCATGTTCATACTTTTCAGTTGGCCAACATTTCTATAAATCCTTTGTTTTTATTGGTCTTCAGTAATATTCTAATTTTCTGATATGATGAATTTGGGATTTTCATTTGTTGTCATTTGTAATCATCAAAATTAAACAAAATAAACATCTGAAATATATGAGTTTGTATGTAATGTATGAATATAATATACAAGTTTCACTTTTTAAATGGAATTACTGAAATCAATCTACTTTTTCATGATATTCTAATTTTATGACCAGCACCTGTATGGATGAAGCTACTTTCTTTAGGAGCCTCTTATGTCATCATGGCCTGGAGACAAATCTTTCATTTTCAGAAAGATTTGAAGAACCTTGTTTTGAGCAGGAGCGTCAAAAGCATCTAAGGTATAATAGAGATTATTGTGATTTATTGAAATTTGTTTATTTTATAAAATCTTAAAACCTTTTCCTATATAAAGATTACCTTCATTTCTAACACCGTCTGATAACTGGATGGGTGACCTCTGGAGGATTATTTATAACATTCCAGGTTTCATGATTTTTCCAACTCTGAATAGTATTTTTTCTGTCAGTATTTTAATGAACTCATTTTTATACAGTTTATACGATGAAATATTAAAATGATTTGGACTAATAACAGATTTTTTCTAAAGCTTATTTTTGGTAATCAAAAAAAGCCATGAAAATATTTATAAATAAAGTCATCTGAGCATCATTAAGTTTAAAAACTGAACCTAGGAGAACCTCAACAAACAGATGTTAAAGGCTTCTGTATTTTTAACCCTTTATAGCGCACTCAGTGAAATCCTTTGAAAATCTAAATTTCAGGCCAATAGTTTTATTGGAATCCAGGACAAGACCTTATTACTTATGTAAGATTAAAAAATCTGGATATTTTGATCACATTGAAAATCAATTTCAATGTAATAAAAAGAAATACCAACTTGCCCGAATAAATTAATAAAAAATAACTAAAGAATGCTATAAGAAATGAAAGAAAAACACATTTTTGGTCCAACGTAACCTTAGAGGCATTAATACTGATAATGGAACTTACATTTCTTAGTTTATAAACCTAAATATAATTGTTAACTAGGCTTATTAACGTTTTAACTTTTCAATTAGCTTTTTACGTTTTTTTGACTTTAAACTTAATTTACAGCAGGTAATATATCATTCAACAGCTGATCTAATTAGTCAAATGCCAAAATAAGATGTACAGCCATGTAGCAGCATCTATGCTGAATGGCTGGATATAGATCTTGGTCTTCTAGACCTCACTGAGGGACGGGGGGGACTATATAAAGGGTTAACTGTAAATTTATGGAGTTTTATATTAAATTCACTTTGTCAAAAACTGAAATACTGTAAAAATAATTTAAAATATCAGCATTAATAAACCACAATTGATTAGATTAGTAAAAGAATTAGCTAGTATTTTATCAATTAGAGTTGCAAATGAGTGAGTTTTCCTTGTTGGTTTATGAATAAGTGGCTGAAAATCGATACTTGAATCATGTTTTAAAATGATAATATTAAAGTCTCTAATGTAAACGACAATGCATCAACAAAAGACCCCAATTAAGGTTGCAGTCAGGCGGCGATATAGACAACCTATAGTTATTGAAATTATTCCAATTAGGAATTTCAAAAACATAAATAGGACATAAATAGAAACTCTTTCTTTTCGTTTCCTCTCCATAATTGCAGCGTAATTCTGAGGTGACGTTTAAAGCCGTTTCAGGCTAAGCAGGCGCTGTGGATGTATTTTATAAAGATGCCAGAAAATGTTTTGGTAAACTTGGTTTATTTAAATGAAAACTGGAAAAAAATCCTATTTTGGCCTCATTTGATGAACGTTTTAGTGAAAATGTTGAAGTCAGATTGATTATATTAGTTAGAAGAATTATTAAACCTTAAACTGAGACATTTTTTTGTGGATCAATTGATTCCTCATATGACCTCTTCTCCTCCTCATCATCATCATCATCATCAGTATCAGATCCATTAAATCAGCTTTTTAAGAATTTATTTTAAACACTTTATGAATAAAGTAGAATAATAGATGAGATGAATGAAGTGAATACCTGCAGATATATTGAACATGGAGTCTAGAAGGAAGTTTAACTGAATAAACTGATTGTTCACCTTCATCCACCTATCAGCCAATCAGCTTTGAACCACGCCTCCATGAAAGCCAATCAGCATCCAAAGTTCATCTTAAATGCCTCCGATCCGCATCTCGTAATCCTCGTTTTAGTTTTTTTGTTGTATTTGTCAGGTTGGGGTCTGAACTGCTTCCAAGAACATCTCAGGTCTCTGCTAAGTGTGTAGCCCCCCCCGTCCTGCCCTTCCTCAGCTGGCTGGCGCCTGGGCTTGCTGGTGCGCTGGTGGAGCTCGCTGCAGTACCTCCGTGGACCCCCTGTTGAAGACCTCTGTGTTATACAGCTACCATAGTCAGATTAAATATTACTAATTGACTGGCCCCCAGCTCTCTGATTGCTCTCCTTTCTGTGATGCTTCAGCTGGTCTTCACTGTTAAAGCAAAAGACATGATGCTCTTTGCCACGTTTGCTGCCCTGCTGATACCAGTTAATGATGGAGGGAAGCCGTCCTGCAGGTTTTAGAGGTTCCTCTGCTTTAGCAGAATCTGATGATTGCAGTTCAGCTGTGACGGACCGAGCCATAAAATCAGAGAAGCACAGGGAAGTTATTGATGAAAAAATGGTGACAAATTTATTTTGCAAAAATAAAGTTCAAAAGTTCAAACAAGACTGGGCCCATCAAGGAAAACAAATGAAAAAAATCAGTATAATCCAAACCTGACACAGGAAAAGGCTCCCTAACTGACACACAAAGGAAACATATATACACACTGGTTGATCAGACCATTTTGAAACAAGGGGGAAACATAAAATACATTTTCCTAAACAAAACTACAACAAAAGACAAAACTAATCAACATACTAAATCAGCAACCTATGAAGAAGAGGACTTAAATATTAAATTTTCCAAGTGTTACTATAGAAAACAAAACCAAATACAGAAACCTAAACCCTTCCTACACCCCTTCTAAATGCAAGTGGAAGAGTCCAACTAGGCCTCCATGTCAGTGAGGAGATCCTCTGCAGCTGGAGCCTCCTTTGCTTTACTGGCTTCACTCATGACAGCCTCCCAGGAACCGGAAACTCAAATGAAACATATATTAATGTACAGAAACCAAACAGCAAGAAACAACAAAATGAGTCAACTAAAGGTGTCCACCCAAATAGTTAACCAATGCCAAATCAAAGTAGAAAAAAATTAAATACAGTGCAATAAAATAGAAGATTTAATGAAAGAATTACCAGACCATTTGTTGTGTGGTTGCACATGCGGCCATCCCATCAGCCAAAGCCTGTTAATCAACTACTTATTAAAACCAGCTGTGCTGGAGCAGGAAACCTCTAAACCCTGCAGGACAGCGGTCCTTCAGGTCCCACTGTGGGGATGCCTGGGTTAGAAGCTATGAAACCAATGCTGCATTAATAATAATAGAAATCATCATCTTGCAAAACTCAGAACCGAAGCAGGACTAGAGGTGTTTCTCTGAATGGAGGGCCACGGTTAGAACCACTGCGGCGTTTGGCTGAGCCTCTCTGAGGTGATGGACGGCCATGACAGAACGGATCCACAGCTGCAACCAGAAACCTGAGCTGCCAGATCAAACTACTGCTAATCACTAAGTTTGACTGAAAGACAGGAGATGATCTGCAGCAGAGGTCTGTCTGAGATCACCTTGGAGATCCTCCTGGTCTATTTTAAGGCTGACTTTGAGCTCAGCTGTTGCCTCTGCGCCCTCTGCTTGCAGCTCTTTAGTGTTGCATTAATATTGAACAGGTAAGCCGCTTCCAAAAAGATCAACCTCATGTAGCCTCTGCTGTGACAGGCTCATCCAGAACACGCTGAGTCAGAGCTGTAGCTCAGCTCAGAGACAGAGTCCTGCTTTGTGCAACCGTCACAGGGCTGACAGCGCTGAGCCGAGCCTGAGGACGGAGCCGACAGGAAGAGGAGCTTCTGAACTTTGGCTCCCTCACATCTCTATAATAAGAGCGTCTGGATGTTAGCGTGGATTTATCCTGCTCCTCTGATTATTCAGAGTCCTTGTTTTCTGCTGCTGGACATCCAGGTCACTCGTGGTTCAGTTGCCGTGTGGTTTAGGAGGAGACGGATATTATTGGTTGCATGTGGCGGCAGGAGGAGGGAGGGGGGCAGAGCGTGAGGGACACAATAACAAAATCCTGTGATGATTTGATTATTTTTCGCAGCAGGGCTCTGAGGACACGCAGCAGCTTTGATGAGGCACCATGTTGAGATGTTTTTGAAGCCATCAGCTGTGTGTGTGTTGCAGGACGATCATGGGCCCCCACGGCATCAACCGAGCTGTCCAGAGGCTGGAGTTCTCCGACTGCAAGAAGGGACTTGGTGAGTACCTGGACCTCCGCCGTCCCCCCGTCTCCAGGATCCATTCACAGCCTTTAACTTCTCTGAGCCCCCCCCCCCACAGGTGTGAAAATAATTGGAGGCTACAGAGAGCTGACAGGTGAAGACTTTGGGATCTACATCAAGCGTGTGATCGCAGGCGGCTTAGCTGCCCTGGACGGTAACGTTTATCTCATTTCACAGAAAGAACCCCCCCTGACCCCCCCACCCTCTCACCTGTCTGTCTGTGGGCTCCCTCCAGGTCGGCTTAAATCAGGGGACCTGATTCTGGACGTCAATAACATCAGTCTGATCGGAGTGACCAATGACAGGTGAGCAGATTTTATTTCTGGATCTTTGCTGCTGTTTGAAGTCTTTAGAGATGCAGAAGTTAAACTGCTGAAATATTTTACGCACTTTAAACTCAGATAAAGCAGAGGTGCTGCTGATTTCCCCTCATGATGCTCTTCCAGGTATCCAAGCCTTAGAAACCAAGGCGTTATCTTTGACAGCATTGACCTTAGAGCAAACTGCTGACGAGGAAATGTTTTTACCAACTGAGGAAAATCTCTAAAGTTAGAACAATCGAGTCCAGAGATGATCCTGAAATGATTATCTACGCCTTCGTGTCTTCCCGTTTAGTCTAACAGTCTACTCTCATGTCTTCACCGGGTTCAGGTCACTGACCTGTCCAAACAGAAGGGCTCTCATTACACCGATTCAAAAGTTCTTCATTGGCTCCCAGTCTCTCCAGTTTAACATCCTGGTTCTGACCTTCAGGGCCGTCCACGGTCAGGCCTGAACCTGCTCATGGTCCTTCGTACTCGTTACAGGACCAGGGGAGATTGCTCGTTTCAGGCGGAGGTGCCGGCGCTCTGGAACGATCTTCCGCTTTCGTTACGCTTCTTGTTGATGTTTTTAAGGGCGAACTGAAAACCTATTTGTTTAAGATTAAGGGTTGCTTTATGACCTTGTCTTTAGTTACTGTAAATGTATTTTTTCTGTATTTTAATTTTTTGAAACACTTTGTGACCTCAATGACTGTGAAAGGTGCTAAATAAATAAAATGACATTTATTAGTGATCAGACAGAGACTTCAGCTGCTTTCACACTAGTCCTGCTCGGCTGCAGGGAGCAGATGGTTAAACCGGTTATTGATCTGCAGAATAGGAAACGTTCCTCAGGGTTTGAATCTGCTGATTCTAAAGGCTCACTTAGAGGCAGCCATCTTTAAATGATGGAGGTAGACCTTAAACTTCACAGCAGATGCAGCCGTGATGCAGAGCTGCTCTGAGATGAGCCGCAGCCTTCAGTTCTTTCCAAAGTGATTTCTCTCCATCTTCCTGAAACCCAAACATCAGCAGCTCTTCGATGCGCTGCAGGATTCCTGATTACGACACGGATCTCCGTTTAGACCCGTCTATGAGCTTAGCTTCTGGAAGTGACCTCCTCTTGATCGACGTGATCTGCAGGTCGGTGATGGATGCTGATGGGTTAGAGCTCATCAAAGATGTCCATCATTGTTCAACCAGCTCCACAGGCGGCCCCGTCCAGGAAACACACAGCCAGGCAGACGAGCTCCGAGCCAGCTCCCATGTCAAACGGATGAAGAGAGCACATCCAGTTAGTCACAGTCAGAGAAACAGGACTACACTGGAAAACAGGCCAAGCTCCAGCATCTAGAAACAAAGGTGTTGATGGCAGCAGCACAGCTGATATTTCTCTCCAGGATGGAGTCACAGCCAAACAGGAACAGACCAGATGAAGCTACTATGAGAAAAAGCAGAGAGAGCAGAACGTTAGAGATTGAACTAACAGATTCTGCAGAGTGGGAGAATAGAGATAGAATGAAGCAGAATGATGAAAAAGGGGTCCCTATGTCCTCCAGCAGTCTAAGCCTATAGCAGCAGAACTATAGAGATAGAATGAAAATGATAAAAGCTCCCTAAATGTAACAGCTTCTATAGAAATGTCTGAAAGTTCTGTCCGGCTGGAGTCTGTGGCGTCTGCAGCTCTCATGCTGTTTGTCCTTCAGGGCGGTGGAGATCCTGAGGAGCGCCTCTCTCTCTAATCACATGTCGCTGCTGATCGCCAGAGACGATGAATCCAGGTAAACCTTTGCTTCCTGCTTCCCCTTCAATATTAAGTTTTAAAAAGCATCAATAAGTGAGTCAATTAAAATGTAAACATTGTTTTAAATTTGTTCTGAAGCGGCTCTGCTGTTGAATTAAGTTTAGCTTTGATTTGATTATTACATTTTTCATATTTTTATTGATTATTTCTGCAGCAGCTGCTTCCCAGGAGTTAAACAATATGACGCCTTTTTGTGTTTAACAAAATAAATTCTGATTTTATTGTGTAATAAAATGCGACTGCAGCTGCATTTTGCAATAAATACCTTAGAACGTAATTGACATTTATAGACCTATTTAGTAATAATCTTTGCAGCATTAAATACTAACATTCGTACCTTTTGCTGTGATTATTAGACAATGCTGCATTTTTTATTTTTCAATAATTATTATGATCATATGATGTATTTGATATTTTAGCTTCTGTGTTCCTCCCACCAGAGGTGCTGAGTCAAGAAATATTAATACTTCATTACTTTAAGTACTTATTATTATTATTTATTATTATTATTATATTTTTTTAGATACATTTTTACTTCCAGTCTTTGAATTTTGAAAATAGATTTGTCAGTTTTGTTTCATTTAAGCTATTTTTCATTCTGGCCGGGTAGTATTCAAAAAAATAAAAACCATCAAAATAATTAGTTTCATCCACTTAATTAATTTCTTTGTGGTTGGACTCGGTGCTGCCCCAACATGTTGCTCACCACATACCAAAATAAATAATTTTATCAAGATGAAGTTAAATGCGATGCTGTAACCATTAGTTATAAAACTAAGAAAATGAAGTCTAAGGAAGTTATCATCCTGAAAGGAAAAATGTTCCGTTAATAGAGTAGAGCAGTAAAGCTTCTGGCTTTAACTTAGTCTCCGGTTAAACCCAGGTTTAAAGCCTTGCAGGGCAGCCTAAAGCCCACTGCCAACATTAAGACAGAAAAAAGAAAGAAAATAACAAACCATCAGTTCAGGGGTTTGAGAAAATATGGGAATCAGGAAATTATCTATAAACCAAACTGAACGATTGTTGTTCTCTACCTCAAAAAACACAAATAGAAAAACAAAAACATTTACAAAATGTTTTTGTTTTTCTATTTTTCTGTGAAGAAGTCAATGTATAACATGGATGCATAAAAACCTCATTTTATCTCAGTGTTAAATTATGTTTAAAGTAAAGGATTATAATTTAAAATGTCTCCAGACCTTTAATGGTTGATGAGTTTCTTAATTCAGACCCAGCTGATTTTTAACTTTTATTTCCGGGTGGATCATCTCAATCAGTGGTCCTCCTACCTGTCAATCATTCTGATGATATATTTCTGTAAGGCCGTCCTAGGCGCTTGTTCCGTTAGCGATCACTTTCTGCGCACTTCCAGGCGTATATCTGTGGTGAGCTACGGTTTCAGACGGTCATTGAAGCTCACCTTTCTCACAGCGGTTCTTTGAAAATGGCCGAGGGTCGGAAGAGAAAAAGTGTATACGTTATATCCCAGAATGCTTTGCGTGGAGAGCTCTCATCGCAAAGCATTCTGGGATTTGCTGTCATAGCGACTACTAAACAAAGATGGCGCAGGCACCACACAGTGGAGGAGGAGTTACGTGACCAACGGAGCAAAAATCAGTGATCGTCTGTCTGAACGGTCCGTTAACTGAGTTCACTATAACGTTCACTATATAGTCCCCGCTCTATAGTGATGGAGGGATTTAGGGGTTAGGACGGACGGACGGACACTGTTAGCTCGGATCAGCTGTGAGAACAGCAACTTTTAAACAGGGCGTGCACGAGTAGAAATGGGCTCTTGCACGTGCACGTTTGGAGGGTGGTCTTTTAAAAAATCCTCCATAATACCTGGAAGTAGTTCTAAAATTGGTACTTTTACGCTTTTACTGGAGTAAAAAGCTGAAGTTGATCCTCTAATGTCTCCAAAGTGTTTTTAGCTTCATTCCTGTCGGCTGTCGGAGGTCATGGTGATGTCATCATGCCTGAACAGGATGAAATGTAAAGATCCTAATGAGGCAACATGAGAGGATCTGAGATGAAGGAAGCAGGAAACCTTCAGACTGAAGAAGGTTTTCCACTCTGCTTCATTCTGCCACCTGCTGTAGGTCGCACCTTGTTTCTCTGTATGGCCGGGGGTCTTTAGGTGTAAAGATACGATTCATGTCTTAAATATGACCCACACCGCAGAAGATGGAGATCCTGAGGAACAGCAGGGATGATGGTTGATTCCATCATCTGCAGCATCAGGCTAATGAAAACTTAATGAGGTTTTTCTGGCTGAACTTTATTCAATGTTCAGATCTGCTGTCAGCGACTTCCTGATATCATCACTTCCTGTCGCTCCTCTTCTGATTGCAGAAAATAGGCCCTTTGGGGGACAGATCCTCCAGTCAAACATGTAGAGCTTTGCTCTGCATGTGGGCTGAGCTTCGGTTCAGCAGCCGTTGTGTCTTAGTGAAGCAGTGTGAGGATTGTGCTGAAATGCTTTCAGCTCCTCTCTCTAGGATTTGTTAATTTGAGAAAAGGAGCCACTGATCTCCTGGTTTTTTCTTCTTGAGAAGAGGAGGAGACTGGTCCTTCAATCCACACCTGCTGACGTTTTAGAGCTCAGACAGCTCCTGTTTCCTCCAGCTCTACACGATGTTCGCTCAGACCTGACCTCTGCTGGCCGCCGTGTTTTTCCACGTCAGCCGTCAGCATCAACCCAAATGTGGTCTGACATAATAAGGACATTCTGCTGTCTGGCCAGATAGTTTCCTGCAGAGCGACTCACTGGAATCAGCAAAAACCGAGTCAGGCACCAGCCACAGACTAAACTCTGCAGCGTCTGAACATTCTCCTTTAAATGACTAAACTCTGCAGACTTCTGAATGTTCTCCTTTAAATGACTAAACTCTGCAGACTTCTGAACGTTCTCCTTTAAATGACTAAACTCTGCAGACTTCTGAACGCTCTCCTTTAAATGACTAAACTCTGCAGACTTCTGAATGTTCTCCTTTAAATGACTAAACTCTGCAGACTTCTGAACGTTCTCCTTTAAATGACTAAACTCTGCAGACTTCTGAATGTTCTCCTTTAAATGACTAAACTCTGCAGACTTCTGAACGTTCTCCTTTAAATGACTAAACTCTGCAGACTTCTGAACGTTCTCCTTTAAATGACTAAACTCTGCAGACTTCTGAACGTTCTCCTTTAAATGACTAAACTCTGCAGACTTCTGAATGTTCTTCTTTAAATGACTAAACTCTGCAGACTTCTGAATGTTCTCCTTTAAATGACTAAACTCTGCAGACTTCTGAACGTTCTCCTTTAAATGACTAAACTCTGCAGACTTCTGAACGTTCTCCTTTAAATGACTAAACTCTGCAGACTTCTGAACGTTCTCCTTTAAATGACTAAACTCTGCAGACTTCTGAATGTTCTCCTTTAAATGACTAAACTCTGCAGACTTCTGAATGTTCTCCTTTAAATGACTAAACTCTGCAGACTTCTGAATGTTCTCCTTTAAATGACTAAACTCTGCAGACTTCTGAACGTTCTCCTTTAAATGACTAAACTCTGCAGACTTCTGAACGTTCTCCTTTAAATGACTAAACTCTGCAGACTTCTGAACGTTCTCCTTTAAATGACTAAACTCTGCAGACTTCTGAATGTTCTCCTTTAAATGACTAAACTCTGCAGACTTCTGAATGTTCTCCTTTAAATGACTAAACTCTGCAGACTTCTGAATGTTCTCCTTTAAATGACTAAACTCTGCAGACTTCTGAATGTTCTCCTTTAAATGACTAAACTCTGCAGACTTCTGAACGTTCTCCTTTAAATGACTAAACTCTGCAGACTTCTGAACGTTCTCCTTTAAATGACTAAACTCTGCAGACTTCTGAACGTTCTCCTTTAAATGACTAAACTCTGCAGACTTCTGAATGTTCTCCTTTAAATGACTAAACTCTGCAGACTTCTGAACGTTCTCCTTTAAATGACTAAACTCTGCAGACTTCTGAATGTTCTCCTTTAAATGACTAAACTCTGCAGACTTCTGAATGTTCTCCTTTAAATGACTAAACTCTGCAGACTTCTGAATGTTCTCCTTTAAATGACTAAACTCTGCAGACTTCTGAACGTTCTCCTTTAAATGACTAAACTCTGCAGACTTCTGAATGTTCTCCTTTAAATGACTAAACTCTGCAGACTTCTGAACGTTCTCCTTTAAATGACTAAACTCTGCAGACTTCTGAACGTTCTCCTTTAAATGACTAAACTCTGCAGACTTCTGAACGTTCTCCTTTAAATGACTAAACTCTGCAGACTTCTGAACATTCTCCTTTAAATGACTAAACTCTGCAGACTTCTGAACGTTCTCCTTTAAATGACTAAATTCTGCAGACTTCTGGATGTTCTCCTTTAAATGACTAAACTCTGCAGACTTCTGAACGTTCTCTTTTAAATGACTAAACTCTGCAGCGTCTGAACATTCTCCTTTAAATGACTAAACTCTGCAGACTTCTGAATGTTCTCCTTTAAATGACTAAACTCTGCAGACTTCTGGATGTTCTCCTTTAAATGACTAAACTCTGCAGACTTCTGGATGTTCTCCTTTAAATGACTAAACTCTGCAGACTTCTGAACGTTCTCCTTTAAATGACTAAACTCTGCAGCGTCTGAACATTCTCCTTTAAATGACTAAACTCTGCAGACTTCTGAATGTTCTCCTTTAAATGACTAAACTCTGCAGACTTCTGGATGTTCTCCTTTAAATGACTAAACTCTGCAGACTTCTGGATGTTCTCCTTTAAATGACTAAACTCTGCAGACTTCTGGATGTTCTCCTTTAAATGACTAAACTCTGCAGACTTCTGGACGTTCTCCTTTAAATGACTAAACTCTGCAGACTTCTGAATGTTCTCCTTTAAATGACTAAACTCTGCAGACTTCTGGATGTTCTCCTTTAAATGACTAAACTCTGCAGACTTCTGAATGTTC